TGCGTTTTTGTTCCGAGTTTAAAGGAGAATTTTCATATTTTTTCATGACGTGACAATTATTTTAAGTGCATATTTTAAATCTTACTAAACAATCTTACCCAGCTGTCTCTAGTTTTATTTAAAATTTTTAGTTTTTTGGTGAAGTTTATAGTTTTACATCCTGGTTGGACACCGTAAGCAGCGACAAAACAAAGGACAAAACGCATCTAAATTTCAAAACAAAGAACAAAACGTGTCTAAATTACACAACAGCTATGATAAAAGTAATAAAAATAAAAAACAACACCTTTATTTTCTTAAATTAAATTGAAACTGTGAGAAAAAAAGAGAGTTCTTCCTTGTGCGTAAATTGTCCTTGTGCGTAAAACTCTGTCTTGATGACACAAAAGCGGGATTCTGTTTTACAACTCACTGCTACTTCCTGTGTAATTTTGTACTTTTATTCTTAACTATTCTCTCCACAAACTGCCACTTAACTGATGTAAAACTATGATCAATATTGACCGCAGGTGCTATACACCAAACCAAGAAACCAAGTGCCATGCACAGTTTCATTGTGCGTAAAGATGAGATTTGCACTTTGTCTGGCGTTGTTCTTTTCCAAATTTGGTTTAGTTTTCTATTAAATTGAACAATAAATATAATACCTGCATTTTTATTGGTTACATATTCTTTAAACATAAAAAAGAAGAAAAAAAAAGACTATAACTGTAATTTTTTACGTCATGAAAACGTCTCGTGTATTCGTCCTCTGTATTCTGTTTTTGAAAGTGGTCACCCAAACCCTGCGCGAGGCCCCTCTTCCGGCCCACGGGTCACGAGGAGGGGTACGTAACGTGGGGGTCCTGTACTGACGCAGCAGGGGGGGACATACGTACGTGCACGCGGATGGAAGGACGGATTCTTCGGGGCGATGTTGAACCTTCTGTGGAGACGGGGGGCGCGCAGAGGAGCACTACCGCAGCTCAGAGTGATTTTTTTTTTTTTTTTTTTTTTTTTTTTTTTACAACGTGTTTACGGCCATGGGAACAGACACACGGATAGCAGAGTGAAGTGACACCTCGCCATCGCCATACCATCACACACCGAAGGGAAACGGGTTTAAGTGGATAGTTAATTAAACCCAAGGACTTTGTAAGCAATTAGATGAGAGATATAGGCAGCAGACAGTCTAATTATCTTTATATAGCCGCGTCTCAAATGACATCACAACATTCTATAGACCGATCATGTTTAACACCTGCGGGAGTTAAAATTTATCTCGTTCAGATGCGGGTTTGTGTTGTGAAACTGTGAGGTGCTTTGGCTCGAGTCGCTCATAGAAACGATCAGGTTCAGTATTTGTGAGTTTATCTTTTTTTGGAGGTTTCATGGTAAAATACAAAGCGATGAAAAAGAGAAACTGTGTCTAACCTCCACATGACAGCGTCACGTGACCACACTGTAGATTTTAAGAATTAAGAAATACTGGCATACTAGTATATAGTGTCGTACTGTATACGGTTTATAGTTTATAGTTCATAGTATATAGTATTTAGTATACAGTTTATAGTTTGTAGTTTTTAATATACAGTTTATAATATATGGTATGCATTTCATAGTATACAGTTTATAGTATATAATACATAGTATGTAGTTTATAGTTCATAGAATATAGTACATAGTATATAGCATATAGTTTATAGCATATAGTACATAGTATATAGTTTATAGTATATACTACATAGTTTATAGTTCATTGTTTATATTATATAATATGTATCATATAGTTTAAAGAATATAGTTTATAGTATGTAGTATATAGTATAGTATATAGTATATAAAGTATATAGTGCATAGTATATAGTTTATAATATATAGTCTTTAGTATGTAGTACACAATTTATAGTTTATAGTTTATTTTGGAAAACTAGTAAATGTTAGTCGAATTGTAATTACAAAAAAACGTATTTGTTTTGAAAATATTGTGAGATATCGTATAGCAATTATAGAATTTTAAAACATTCATTTTAGTGATTTTCAAAAAAGTAAATAAATTAATTAAAATTTAAAAAATCACAAGGCCTAAAATGATGCATTCCCTAATTTAATATCAACCGAATATTTGAAAAATAAAAGCTGCATTATCATTAAAACCTAATTATGAATATTAAAATTATATTTATGGATTTAATTTAGAAAAAAACAACAACATAATTGAGGAATGTAACGCGCTCCATCCGCGCTACAGACGCGCGATCACATTTGCACGAATAATTCGCACATGATTTGAAAAACAATTGTTTAACGATTTTCTTTCAAATTCTCGTAAATTGTTTTTATCACCCTCCCCTCGAAAGCGCCGTAAACGTGATTTAGGGATTGTAATTAATTTTCCCATCAATCATAACGCCACAAATCACCTTTTTATTGTTTATTTTCGACGTATAAACACACGCAAATGACGTAAACAGTTCAAAACGTATCTGTCCATTGACCCGTAGTTTTACAGCCGAGTCATTTCCTCTGTAGTCTATTTAAATCCTGTGGCAAACACGAGGCGTCTTCTCTCTCTCTTTTTTTTTTTTCTTCTTTCATTTTTACGCCTGCGTCTGGGCTATCACTTGACCAAACGTTTAGCGCGTACTATTACTCCTTTATGGCAAGAATTAATTAGGCCCAGCTTGAGTCTCGTCTCAGGCCCGTAACACCTCGGATTCTACCCCGTCCTCGCCTCCCTCCATCCGGGTTGCCTTTTCCCAAACCACCCCTGAAACCATGCCACAATTACACCGCGCCGTTTGCTTTTAAAACCGCTTATTGAGCTTTATGTTCGGGGCTTAATAGAACCATAAACTTGATGGGGGGCGCCGTTGCTCCGTGTCGACGCTTGGAGGCGCTCTTGCTCCACGGAAAAAAAACAAACCCCACAGAAAACAGAACGCACAGAGGAGAGCAACACACCAGCACACACAAGCCAAGCAGCCCGGGGAGTTCAACCGCTGTTCACTTGGAGAGAGTGTGTGCGTAAAAAAAAACGTGCCATCGCCTCGACTGTATCCACGTTCGGTTGAGTTTTGGGCGCGTTTTTAAGCGGCTACAGAGGAAAGCAAAGGCCACGGGGGACCGGAGCAGCCCCTCCATAGGCGTACAGGATATAGGCAGTCAGGAAACGTTTATTTTTCCTAGTCCAAATTCACACCAAGGACGCACGGTTCATTCCAGTGTTTTTGTCCGTGCGTAATGTGTGTACCCAGGCCGTATGGGAGCAGCGGGGTGCGTTTCCGAGCTCCTTCCTTTCTCAGGTAACATAGGGGACCGTCCACGTCCAAGTACTAAACCACACGGAGGTCTTCGCGTGCGTAAAAAACTCCTGTCACTCTCGGCTAAACTAAAATAGATTGCGTCCTGGCCAATATGTTAGATCAATCTCGGTTTCTTTCGCGTTTGGACGGGCGCGCACGCAACCCAAGCGCTTGTTTACGGGCCTCGCGCGCGGCTGTATACCCCCCACGTGCACGCGCGCACTTCATAAGCATTATTATTAAACGTGTAAAACTTCCAACAGGCTTCAATACAATCTGGGAATTATGATTGCAATTTCAGAGCGCGCACAGTCAAATGAATACAGCCGTGCGTAATTATATTTGGGTGGAGTGATACATACGGTTCATTTTGGGGAGTTATGGCGGAGGGATACGTAACCAAATTACTGCAGTCAATTCGTGATTTAGGTTGTGTTATATAAGCTTTTTGTGTTATAGAGTGAGACAATAGCATAACAAGTCTCCAACTGGTTTCTAGGAAGACGTCTGGCGCGAACAATAAGATATTAGGAACAGTTTTGTCTCACCGTGTGACCCCCGCGCGTACGTAACCGCGCAGATATGACGATTAACTCCTCGTGTAAGTGCCGGTAGTTTTGCGTTTACGGCCTCCGGTGGACGTAAAGGGCGCGTCGTAAACCCCCTTTTTGTTTTTCCGCGATAAACAAGGCGCGCACTGCCGGCCCCTCCGCTTTTTACAGACCGTTTACAAGCACTTCTCCCGCCGATTAGACTCCCCGGGCCTCCCTATGCCTTTATGGACGTCATATTTATTAGAAAAGTGATCAGAAAGCAACGCGCGCCGCCCCGGTGTGTACGGAGCGAGCGTAAGGACGCAATGGTTCGGAGTTCGGCTCGTGTTTATGTTTACTTGAGTTAATGTGAGTGGAGCAGGTGAAGGCACGTTTGAACATCCAGGTTGGGCTGGGACAAAGAAAATGGAAATATAAAGGACTTGTGGACACAGTCATGCAGAGAGAAGTAAACACCAGCCTCATCTGTCAAACTCAACATGCATTAATATTTTTTTCATTTTATTTTGTATTCTTTTTTCATGTGGTCCTTTTTATCTGTGTTCAAGAAAATACAGCCCCTGTGTGTGTGTGTGGCGCGCGTGCACGTGTTTCAATGTGCGCGCAGAAGCCAATAGGATGAAGCTCTGATAATAGATGCAAATGATCCCTGAAGCCACAGTCACACACACACGCATGCACACGCACACGCGGGCGCGCAAGGCCGGGGAGGAGAGACGAAGCGCGTGCGCGGGGAAAGAGAGCGGGGAGAGAGAGGGCGCACAGAGAGGGAGAGAGAAAATATGAAACAACTCATTTGCAGAGGAGTAAATCACGGAAAAGCCGTTTGAGAGCGCGACAATGCTCCCGCTTACAGCGCGAGCACCGGAACTGTGATGCGCACGAGCCCGTCCTCCTCCTCGGTGTTCACGCGAGCCTCTCGGTCTGACCCGTGCGCGCTGGGGCTTTTATGGACTCCGTCTGATTGTTTGTGTTTATCTGCTTGTTGTGGCGCGGATCCGGAGCGTTACCGCGGACACCGTTCCTCACACCGCGAGCGGCCAGTGCGTCGTGGCCGTGAGGGGACGCGCCACAGCAGCGGTCCAGCCACAGCGGCGAGCTTACGGAGCCGCGTGCGTGTGTGTGTCTCCCACGCAGCGCGAGAGCAGTGTCCCCTCTGAGTACCACTCATCCCCGCTTCAGACATGAGCTCCTATTTCGTCAACTCGCTCTTTTCCAAGTATAAAAGCGGCGACTCTTTACGCCCCAACTACTACGAGTGCGGCTTCGCGCAGGACCTCGCTGGAAGCCGGCCCACTGTGGTCTACGGCCCCGGCTCTGGGGCCACCTTCCAGCATGCCCCGCAGATCCAGGACTTCTACCATCACAGCGCCTCGACGCTGCCCAGCAACCCCTACCAACAGAGCCCCTGCGCGGTCACATGTCACGGCGAGCCCGGTAACTTCTACGGATACGACGCGCTCCAGCGGCAGACTCTATTCGGGGCTCAAGACGCGGACCTGGTCCAGTACAGCGACTGTAAACTCGGAGGCGCGCCGGGACTTGGAGCTGATGACGGGGATGGGACCGACCAAAGCCCGTCACCCACGCAGCTTTTCCCGTGGATGAGACCTCAAGGTGAGGACGCGCTCCGGACTCTTATGTACTCTAGTGTAAGGGGAAAGTTGGGAAAGTTGCTTTGAACCCTCGTGAGGAGGGCTATTACTACTTCCTGCCTAAAAGTGCGACACAATGCTGGTTTATTGTTTTATTGCATCTCAAACAGTGAGTGGCATTTGAGTGTAAATGTGGGTAAAGCCTGGACTTACAGCCGGAGCGGGGAGGGGGCAGTGCAGCGCAGACCCTGACAGAGCAGAGGCAGGGGAAGAAGCAGAGGCAGAGGCAGAGGGACAGGCAGGGGGCTCGGTGTCCGCAGCCGGGGAGCTCTGACTCGGCTGCAGCTTTTACGACTTGCCTTTGGTGTGCGGGAGGGCGAGAGGAGACGCGGGGTGATCGCACACACACACACGGTGGCCTCTTCCCCCACGGGCTGCACAGACGAGCTCCTGAGTGGCTCCAGTCTCAGCTACTTGGACGCTATTGTTGTTTAGGCCCTTTATGAAGTGGGGAATAGAATATGAGGCTATAACTGAGCTTTACGCGCGTCTCCTGTGCGCTGGGACTCGGTTGGTGTTGTCATACTGTAGGTATCATAGCCTCTGCAAAATGGAGGAGCACCAAGGCTTCAGGCAGTGTTTGGTGACGCTGGATACCAATATCACCAGCACATATTATTCATGGGTAAACAATAAACACACAAGTTGGATAGTTGTTTCAATATGCAATTTGGACTTTTGATTGCGTTTGAAATGATGCAAAAATATATTCAGCTGTCGTTATTCAAGAAGGGGACACAATTTGGTTAATAATGCATGTACTTGGGCAATTCCAGGAGCATGTAATATGATAATTTGCATACGAATTCATCATGTATAAATAGGCAAAGTGTAAAAAATGTAACATATACAAAGCAGGTAAAGTGGCACAAAGACAGAACGCGTAAAAGTCCTACTCAAGCTTTCATTTTAAGCTTAAATTGGACTCCCATGTCGTGTTTATGAGGCACTATATTCTTACGCACTCTAACCACTCTAAATGGAGACAGTAGGATGTGGTTTGGTTTAGTGCCTTTTGACTTATGGAATATGATTAATCCGAGTGTGCGTTTTTTGGGGGGAGCCGGAGATTTAACGCGCGGTGATTACGCACGAAGGCGTTTTGACACGACACGGGAGGACCGATTGACATGTCGGTTTTTAGGGGCCATATTTCTTCCCCCCTCTCTCCTTCTCCTCTTTCTCTGTCTTTCCCCGCGCCGTAGACCGGGGTGAGGGTTGGAAAAATAGAGCGGGTGAGTGCGCGGAGTAGTATTTTTTAAAGAGGTTGTGTATGGACTTTTGTGGCTTCATGATTATGATCGTAAAATAATGGAATGTTAAACGGAGATTTGTGTATACAGATGGTATTACGGCTTGATACGTTTGGCACCTGCTCCAGCAAATCTGTCACTAGATAATATGTCAAAATATTAAGAAAAACTAACCAAGCTGTAGTCTGTAATTGCCTCTACATTGCATATCACTGGGAGTGGCAGTACAGTGCAACCTCGGTGCGTAAAATAGCCCTGGAACACTTTAAACTCGGGTCTAGACGTCATTCGTTTTGCCTGGATGTCAACTTAGCCTCTGTGATATACAATCCCCAGACCGTAGTCTCGGTTTCACGGCGCGTCGCTCCGCTGCGGCCCCGGAACCGAGCTCCGAGAGGCGAACGCGAGCGGGAAGCCAGCCGTGTCGAGCCGGGGAACACTTTCCACGGGCTAGCCGCGTTTTACAGCCCCGGTTTGATGGGAGGTATTACGGTTGCTCAGCGCGGAGGATTTATTGGTTGTAATAGCCGAAATAGGCAGTGCACGTTTGGGGAAGCCCTATCTTAGTGTAACGGTGGTTTCATAACTGGATGTGCTTAGACACGCACGCGTTTGTTGACTTTTGTACTTTGGAAAAAAAAAAAAGTAACGAAAATGAGAATTAGGACAAAGACGGCTCCTGTATGTCTAGATAACAACCGAATCACCCCCCAAAGCGGAACCTTTAACATCCTACACTGATTTCCAAACTTGAATGATACGTCTATAAACGACGCACAAACGTGATTAGGCCGGAGAGTGGAGCCTATAAGGGCACTGTACATCTCCAATGGCTTTTGCGTCCACTCCAATTTGGAAACTTGGGCCCTTACGTCTCCAAAATGTCAAGTGCCAACCGCTTCGTGTTTGTCTGGACTTATCTAATTGGCCGCGCGTAAAGGTTCCGTGCGTAATAAGGCTTGGAGATGTTTTATACTTCGCGGTCGCTATCATTTCTCGTGATCATAAAAGCGGATAGGGTGAGTTGGAGAAGGGCAGGGCTAAATAAACGGGAGATATGTACGGGAGCAGCAGATTTACAACGTGTTTACGGTGTCACGGATCCCCGGGAAGGTGAAGGGGAGCACGGGTAGACAGTCCCCGCGCGCCCCCGGGACACCGAAGCGATCAAGGCAGGGGGATGTTGTTTTAGCCCCAAAACTGTTCCTGTTTCGGGGTAGTTCAAGCACTGATGACAAGGCCAAACGGAGCATCCAGTAACCCAAGATCTAAAGGTTTAGCAATCCCTTTACAATAACAATAATATAGATTTATTGGCTTATAATTACACGACAAACTGGTGTAAGTGGATACATTCAGCGTGAAGAAATGTTAATGTTAGGATGTGATTTGGCACACTGGAACATCGCCTGCTTCTCGAATTCTTCACATATTTTCATAAGCGTGCATTGTAACGCGTTTCTATCGTGCATATCTAATGTCCCTCAGCAAACATCAAATTTTTGTGAACCATATCAAACCACAGATTAGAAACGGACAGTTTAAAAGCAAAAAAAAAGATCAAGTTTGAAAACTGAGATGGATGTAACACTGGAGTTTAAAATGGAGGTTTAGATTCTCGTGCGTAAAATACAAAAAAATGGAAACTAGTTATTTTATATCTAAGTATATTAAGATTGTAAATTAACATAAACATGGATTAATTGTTCATGGTTAAATTAAGACAGAAAACCTTGGTCCTAGCCACAACACCAGTCTGTACTATAATGAGAAAAGACAACGCAATGTAATTACCGTGCGTAAAATAGCTTTGGAACATTCTATAAACAATAGAAACGAGTTATTTTGAAATCTTAAGAGTAGAAACATCTATCATGATCTTAACTTAATACTAAAATTAGATTAAACATTGATTAAGTTACAACCTTGATCCAAGCCACAACATAAGTCTGTAACGTAATGAGGAATGACAGTGCAGTGTGATTCTAGTGCGTAAAATAGCTTTGGATCATACAAAAGGATGGAAACGAGTTATTTTGAAATGTCAACAGTACATCACGTCTGTATTAAATTAATATAAAAAATAGGTAAACATTTAATTAAGTTAGATAACTGGTCTGAGCTGCAGCATCAGTCTGTGCTATGATGGGAAGTAATTCTCGTGCGTAAAATAAGAACATGCGAGAAAAGATGGAAACGAGTTATTTTGAAATCTTAACAGGACAAGGTTGATTATGATCTTAAATTTGTACAAAAAATTAGGTTACATTTTGATCAAGTTAGATAAGAATGGTCGAAGCTACAATATCAGTCTGTATTCAAATGAGGAGTGACAGTGCAGTGTAATTCTCGTGCGTAAAATAGCTTGGATACATGATCGAAAAGATGGAACCGAGTTATTTTGAAATCTTAACAGGACAAAGTTGATTATGATCTTAGTTTTGTACAAAAAATAGTTTAAATTTAGATACCAAGTTAGATAACAATGGTCAAATCTAGAGCATCAGTCTGTATTCAAATGAGGAGTGACTGTGCAGTGTAATTTTCGTGCGTAAAATACCTTTGGAACATATTCGAAAAGATAGAAACGAGTTATTTTGAAATCTTAACAGTACAAAGTTGATCTTGGGCTTAATTTTGTAGAAAAAAAATAGATTAACATTTTAATTAAGTTAAATAACAGATAACAGTGGTCGAAGCTAAAGCATCAGTCTGTATTATAATGAGGAGTGACAGTGCAGTGTAATTCTCGTGCGTAAAATAGCTTTGAAACACATTCGAAAACATGGAACAGAGTTATTTTGAAATCTCATTATCATAAAGTTGATAATGTTCTTAAATTAAAACTAAAATAGGTTAAATGTTGATTAAGTTATAAAACCTTGGCCCAAGCTACTACGTCAGTCTGTATTATAATGAGGAGTGACGGTGCAGTGTAATTCTCGTGCGTAAAATAGCTTTGAAGCATATTCGAAAAGATGGAGACGAGTTATTTTGGAATCGTATCAGCATGAAATTGATCATGATCTTAAATTTATAGAAAAAACAGGATCATTTTGATTAAGTTAGATGAGAATGGTCGAAGCTACAACGCCAGTCTGTATTCAAATGAGGAGAGAAGGTGCAGTGTAATTTTCGTGCGTAAAACAGCTTTGAAACATATTCGAAAAGATGGAGACGAGTTATTTTGAAATCTTATCATCATTAAATTGATCATGATCTTAAATTTATACAAAAAGTAGGTTCAGTTTTGTAGAAATAACAATGGTCGAAGCTACAACATCAGTCTGTATTATAATGAGGAGTGACAGTGCAGTGTAATTCTCGTGCGTAAAATAGCTTTGAAACATATTCGAAAAGATGGAACCGAGTTATTTTGAAATCGTATCATCACAAAGTTGATCCTGATCTTAAATGTATACAAAAATAGGATAATTTTGATTAAGTTAGACAACAATGGTCAAAGCTACTACCTTCAGTTTGTATTAAAATGAGGCGTGACAGTGCAGTGTACTGTATATCTCATGCGTAAAATAGCTTTGAAACATATTCGAAAAGATGGAACCGAGATATTTTGAAATCGTATCATCACTACGTTGATCATGAGCTTAAATTTATACAAAAACTAGGTTAAATTTTGTTCAGATAGCAATGGTCGATGCTACAACACCAGTCTCTATTCAAATGAGGAGTGACAGTGCAGTGTAAT